AGGACAGTGGGGGACAGCAAGGGGGAACAGTGAAAAGGGACTGTGAAGGGACAGTAAGAGAGACAGTGAAGAGGAAGAGCAAAAGAGGACAGTGAGAAGGGACAATGAAGGGATATTGAAGGGAGACGGTAAGAGGGACTGTGGGGGGGCAGTAAAGGGGCAGTGAGGCGGAGGGGTGACAGTGAGGAGGGAGAGTGAAAAGGAACTATGAAAGGACAGTTAAGGAGACAGTGGGGGGCACAGTGAGGAAGGAGACTGAAAGGGGACAGTAAGAGGGACAGGAGCGGCTGGGTCTGGTACACGTTAGACTAGGTGACCTCTCGGGTCCCTTCCAGGCTATGTGGTGACCACTGTGACCGGGGGGTGGGGTCTGCGGGGACAGGGAGAGAGGACAACGGTGGGGGGATCGGTGAGGGGATGGGGAGCAAGGGGAGGGCAGGAAGAGGCGTCAATGAGGGAACAATGAGAGCTGTAGAACACAGTGTCACACGGTGTCACACACATGTACACGTACATACGTACACACACACACACACACACACACACACACACACACACACACGTACACGCGCGCGCGCACGTACCTCACTCCCTGGTCCGCCCCCCAGGCCCCCCACCCTCTCCCTTCCCCCTCTCCGGCTTCCGGAGGTCCGGACCATAGAGCACCTGGGGGGCCAGAGAGGCCGGTTCTGAGATCCGGCAGCTAGAACAGCCACCCTGCTGCTACCCTTCGTTTCCATGACAACCCGCCGCCGGGCAGGCGCCCGACCGGGGGAGCTAAGTGAGTCGAGAGCTGGGCCTCTCGCCAGTCTCCTCCCCCCACCCCCGGCAGGTCAGATGTGGAAACTGAGGCCCAGGATGGACGTCTGGCCGGCGTCCTCGGACTCAAGCTGCCAGTTCCGATCCCGGCTCTGGACGTACGGGGCCCAGGCTGCTAGTCCCAAGCACACTGCGGGAGGCCGCCCCCTAATGCTTGTAGAATGAATGAACCCGTGTTTGCAGAGATGTGTCCACCTCCGTATCTCTGTGTTGGCTCGTGGCCGCACGGACCGCACAGAGGCATCGGGCTCCCACTCCATGCTTAGCACCTTGCCAGGGGGTTTGGATAACTCCGTATGTCTATGCCAAATCCTCGTCCTCCTTGACCTCTGAATGTGCCAAAACCGACACCAGCCATCCCCTCTTTGAAACTCTTGCGGTCTAGATCCACGATTCCCAAAGCAGGAGCCCAGAGACCATCCAGCCCAGCTTGAACAAGGATCCCCTCTAAAACAGGATTTCAGGGGATCTGTGAACTTGGATGGGAGAAAAAATTACATCTCTATTTTCATTAATTTCTAACTAAAAGTGAGCATTTTCTTAAATTATTTAAAAACATACTGAGAAGGGTTCCATAGGCTTCACCAAATTGCCAGAGGGGTCCATGACACAAGGTGAAGAAAACTTCTATAAATGCTCTAAACATACCCAACAAGTAGTCATCCAGTACTTGCTTGCAGAACTCTGAGAACATGGAAGCTTCACTGATGACTCTTGGAGATTTGCTATCTCCACCGTGGCGTCAATCACAGTGTAATAATATGATAATAATAATCATAGCTCTTGTTTATCTAGTGTTTTATGATTTGAAAGGAGAGAAGGGCCCTAACCTGGGAAGTCTAGGTTCTAGTAGTCTCTGGCCCTTCTGCTACTCTCAGTGTAACCCTTAGGCAAATTCTTTTCCCCAGGAGTTGTTTGCAGCTCCCCATGGGTTGACTGGCCCTGGGCTAATGCTCTTTCTGGTCCTTGATCACTCACCTCCTAGAAGTCCTCCTCAACAGCTTTCATAGAAGGTTGGGTGATCAGAGGCCCTCAGTCCAGAAGGCAATCACAGCAGCTTCAAGTCTAGGGTTTCTGCTCTGATTATCACCTAAATCCTTAGTACTAGAGCTCTTCGATGCTGTCTTCCAAGATATACTAGCTTAAGCCCTCTGGGGCTCTCTTGCTCCACAAGCCCTCTGTTGATAAGCAATGTGGGCAGAAAAGGCAGCTGGGAATCTCACAGCCTCCATATAGGAAGCCTTGGCTTCTGCTGAGGGCACGTAAAAAACTCCATTTCTGGTTTCTGAGGGTGTCCAGCCTGCTGAAGTGGGGGCAGAATCACAGCTTCCTCGGATTGCAGCGTTTCCAAACAGGATTTCAATGGTATCACAAGTGGATGTCCCCAGAAGGCAGCTGTATTCTCCAAGTTACCACAAAGGTGTTGCTCTTTCTATAGCCTGGTATGAAGTCCCCTTCAAGCAGATCCTCTGATGCTCTAGTTGGGATAGGAGAGGGGCACCTATGGTGGGGCCGTAGCACCGACCCCAACTCTGGGTGCTGCCTGCCTGGGAGTGCCTCAGAAGCTCTGGGAGGTCCCTTCCCAGCTCTCCACAATTTCAAGTTCTGGACTCAGATCCCGAGTTTCCTCTCCCCCAACCCACCCTTGCCCCTGCCCCCGCCCCCGCTCCCCCCCTCCCCTGCTCCACCCCAATCATTTGGATGCTTGTTTTCAAACAAGTTCTATGACCTTTCCCCCAGTTTCTCTTCCGGGGGAGGCAGTCTTGGCCTTGGTCCAGTGCCCTTTGGAGAAGGGGGCTGACAGGCTTACACTCTATAGCCTCCCATTGGTCCCTTGAGTGTGGGCAGCTCAGCTTGAGGGAGGATGGGGTGGGAAAAATAGATGGAAACTGGTGCACTGCATGCCCCCCTCCTCCCCCACCCCACACACAATGTGGAACTGAGGCGGGCAAATGGCTCGCCCAACAGCCCCTCCTGCCGGCCTGAAATTGTAGCGCTCTTTCATTAACCTCTATAGATTTAGAGCCAGAAAGGACCTAGTCCAAAAAGATCGCCTAGTCCAAAAAACTCTCAATTCATATCCAGATGATGTATCCAGGGCCATAATTTCTGCTACAAATTGAGCAGTAAGTGACAGACTAGGATTTGAACCCAGGTCTTATGATTATGAATCCAGTATTCTTAATGCCCTTCATAGAATCCCTATAGGCATCCCCTTCCTGATGCCCCCAGCTGTTAACACCAGCCCTCACTACCATTTTGCTTATCTTGTATTTATTATGTATGCATTTTTCTTTATATACTTATATATGTATATGTTTTCTCCCCTGACAGAGCACTTATTAAGCCCTTACTATGTGCCAGGTGCTGTGCTGAGAGCACTGGTGATACAAAGACCACAAACAAAAAATAACAAAAAAGACCACCTTCCCTGTCCTCAAAGTGCTTCCATTCTAACGGGCAGATAAACATGCATGTTAATAGATATGTACAAAATATGGACTAGATGGAAGGTAACCTTAAAACAGAAGGCTAAAGCATTTAGGGGGACCAGAAGAGATGTCCTGCAGAGGAGATGTTTAGGTTGTCTTTAAGGAAGCCACGGATTCCAAGAGATAGAAAGCCTTCTGGGCATGGTAGACAACTAAGGAAAAGGCATGGATTTAGATCAAGAAGAGGTCTTAGAGGCCATCAGATAGAACCCTTTCATTTTGCAGATGGGAAAACTGAGGTTCTGAGGTTAAATTAATTTGCCCAGGAACACCCACCAAGTATATATGGTAAGATTTGAACCCAGGTCTTCCTTTCTCCAAATGGAGTGCTTTATCTCCAACAGCAGATGGAATATCGTGGGTTAGGAATAGCAAGTAAACCAGCATGGCCAGATCATCAAGGGTGTGAATGGAAGTAATGGATATGAAGACTGGGCAGATTATATAGGGCCAGGTCATGAAGAGCTTTAAATGCCAAACAAATGAGTTTGTTGAAATTTGGATGTGTGTATGGGGGGAGGTGACATGATCAGACCTACAGTTTAGGAAATCATTTTGGCAGCTTGTGAAGGACAAATTGGAGTGGGGAGAGACTTGAGGCAGAGGCCAATTAAAATGTTATTGAAGGGTCATTTAGGTGGCGGAATGGATAGAGCACCTGCCCTGGAGTCAGGACTTGAGTTCAAATCCAGCCTCAGACACATGACACTTACTAGCTGTGTGACTCTTGGCAAGTCACTTAACTCCAATTGCCTCACCATAAAAAAAAAAAGTTATTATAATAATCTAAATGAGAGATGATGGCTGAGTGGTGAATATGTGAGTAGAGAGACTTACAATATGTAAAAGATGTTGTGGAGGTAAAAATGACAAAATTTGGCAAATGATTGGATGTATGGAGTGAGGCTAAGGAGTGAAAAAAATCAGACCAAGGTTAGGGAACCTGGGTGACTAGGATAAAAGGGTCTGATAGTGTTAGGGAAGCGTGGGAGAGAGAGATGGGCTTAGGGCACTATGAGCTTAGTTTTAGACATGTTGCATCGGAGGTTTCAGGAGAAAGATGAGTTTAGTTTTGGACATGTTGAGTTTGAGGTGTCCTGTGGGACATCCAGTTCAAGAGTTCCAGTAGGCACGTGATAGGAGATTAAAGCTCAGGAGAGTACGTAGGACAAGATTGACCAATCTGGGAATCATCAGCATAGAGATAATAACTGAATGCGTGGGAAATAGTGAGATCACCAAATAAGAACGTAGTGAGAAAAGAGGTCCTAGGACAGAGTTTTGGGAAAAGGACATTCATAGTGGGCACGACATGGATGAAGATCCAACAAAAGTTTTCATAGTTAAGAGCAGGGATTGTTTCATTTTTTTTTTGTCTGTGTAATCCCTGCACCTAACAGAGTGCATGGCACATAGGAGGTGCTTAACAAGGATGCCTGTTGATTGATTGATTCTGCTTTTTTTGAAAGGCAATAAGGAGCTGTAGAAAGGATGCTGGATTTGGAATAAGATTTTGTTTTGTTTGATTCAAAGATCTGGTACTTACTGCCTATGTGACCTCGGACAAGTCATTCACCTCTCTGGGTCTCAGGCACCTCAACTATAAAATAAGGAAGTTGGACTGGATAACCTCTAAGTTCCCTTCTACCTTGAATACTATATTATTAGACTCTTTCCTGTTTCCCCATTCTCCATGCTCCCTGCACAGCTAGGCTGGCTCTTCACAGACTTCCCAAAGGATCAGAACCAAAGAATTTGGTTCCAAACTTCAGCACCAGGAATTGTTCTGCTGGCCTAAGCCTCCTCCCCTGCTTCTACTAATAGTGTGACAGACAACACAGCCCAAGGGAGGGGATAGGCTGGGCATCCCTCACTGTGTACAAGGACATAGCCCTTAGAGGATAACCAAGATCCAGACCCAGCACTCCAAAGAGGCCTTCCCTTTTTTTTGCTGCCTCCTCACCCTCCCAAGATTCCATCCTAGACCCTCTTCTCTTCCTGTGGTGACCTCATGCCCTCTCATAACTTCAGTTATCACATATATGCTGCTGGTTGTTTCTCTGTCCTCAACCTCTCCCTTGACATCCAGTCCCCTATTTCCAACTGTATGAGATACTTCCCCATCTTGAAGAGTCCATGAGCCCCTCAAATTCTAATGCTCTAGCCAGGAATATTTGAAAGATTGTGGAAAATGGGAGAAGCTCATCATGACTGGAGAAGGGCGACTGTCCTTATTTTCAAAAAACAAAGGAGAGCCATCTGCCAACTGGAGGCTAGTGAGCTTGGTTTCGATTCCGGGGAAATTCCTAGAAGAGATCAGTAAGAAGCTAATTGATGAATATGTAGAAAGGGAAGCCATGACTACATTCAGCCAGCCCGAATAGTCTTATGAAGAGTAGGTCAAGCCAAACCAACCTCATTTTCTTTTTTGACAGGATTACTAAATGGATGGGTTTGGGGAATTCTGGGGATAGAGTTCATCTGGATTTTAGTAAAGTTTTTGATGAACATCTCTTTTTATTCATATGGAAAAAATGGAAGGATGTGGACCGAATGAAAATAGATGGATTCGGAGCTGACTGGATGACTACACTCAAAGAGTAGTTGTTAATGATTTAGTGTTAAGGTGTCTGGAGGGCTCTGGTAGAATCCTCTAGGGATCTGTGACTTGCCCTGGGCTGCTTAATATTTTGATCAATGCTAAAAGCATAGATGGAATATTTACCAAATTTGCAGATGACCCAGTACTGGGAGACGACAGAATCAGGATCCAGAAATATCTTGATAGGTAAGAATAGGTTGAATCTAATAAGAAGAAATTCAATAGGGATAACGGTAAAGTCCAACACTTGGAAACAAAATATTGACTTCACCACTATGAGATGAGGATCCATGGTTAGGCAGCAGTTTATCTGAAAAAATATCTAGGTGTGTTGGTGGATTGCAAGCTCAATGAGTCATCAGTGTGATGTGGCAGCACCTTGGGCTGCATTAAGAGAGGTATAGCTTCTAAGAGGTGATAGTCCCATAGTACTTGTCAGACCTCATCTAATAATAATAATAATAATAATAATAATAACTAGCATTTCTATAGTGCCTACCATGTGCCAGGCACTGTGCTAAGTGCTTTATAAATATTATTTTATTTGATACTCAAAACAACCCTGGGAGGTAGGTGCTATTGTTATCCCCATTTTATAGATGAGGAAACAGATTAAGTGACTCGTCTAGGGTCACAGAGCTACAAAGTGTCAGAGGTTGGATTTAAACTTAGGTCTCTCCTGACACCAGGCTCAGTGCTCAATCCACCATGACACCCAGGTACTCATCTAGAGCATTATGTTCCATTCTGGAAACCACAGTTTAATAAGGTCATTGATAAGCTGATAGGATAAAGGGCCTTGAGTCCATGTGTTTTGAAGATAAATTGAAGAGACTGGACATGTTTAGCTTAGAGAAGACTCCAAGTACATAGTAGCTACTGAAGAGCTATCATTAGACTTATTCAATTTGGTGCCAGAGGGCTGAACAAAGAGCAATGTGTAAAGCTTGCAAAGAGACAACATCAGGCAAAACTTTCTAATAATTAGAATCATCCCAAAGTGGAATGGGCTGCTTTTAGAGTGGTTTGTCCCCACTTCTTGGACATCTTCAAGCACAGGCTTATCAGGAAGGATTCCTTTCATGCATGGGCTGGACTAGATGGTCAGTGCCCATTCCAACTCTCAAATCCTGTCATTGTGAACTGTTCACCCCCAATCCTGTCCTTCCTTCTAACTTCTGTATTAATACTAATGGCCCCACTATTTCCTCAGTCTCCCAGGTTCCTAACCTTGGAATTATCTCTGAAGCACTCTACACATCTATTGTACTGCCAAGTCTTGACATTGTTGCCTCTATAATTATCTCAGGCATCTAATCCTTTCTACTATGCCCCCCCACCTTGCCCCTAGCCCTATAGGCCTTTGTCTCTTCTTACCTAACCTAGTGTAATAGCTTATTAAACTCATCTTCCGGCTTCATTTCTTTCTTCAATCCATCCTCTGCTCTGATGCCCATTAATCTTTCTAGTGTATCTCATAATAATGAGACATCTACTCAAAGACCTGCAGGGACTCTCCAAAGTTTAAATTCCCAGTCCTGGCATTCAAGGCCTTCCACAATCTGGCTCCAACTTAAACATCTAGTTCACACATTCTTTCTATTGTAGCTAAACTTTGTGTCTGTTTTCTCTCTATATGACTTTGCTCATGGCATCCCCCATGCTTGAAATAGACTCCTGTTTAACTGCTTCTGTTCAGTACCTCTCTTTCCTTCAAGAGCCAGCTGCCCGATACCCCCATTGCTCTCTCCTCCAATTTGTCATAGTGCCTTGCTTCACTCTCCTTTACCCCACTAAATACTACCCTGGACCATACTTATTTGTCGCCAAGGAGTATCCCCTCAATTAGATAGTAAGCTATTGAAGGCAGAGCGTGTCATTTTCACTCTTAGAGGCCTAGTTCCCTCAATGTTTTGCCCATAGTAGGGGCTTAGTGAATATTTAATGAATCACATTGGATTGAATTGAAAAGTTAACATTTTAATGATCAGGGCTTTGTGGTTCTGTGGGGTTGGATGGCTGTTCTACCCTTTTCTACCAATGAATCACAGACTATTTTCTAAAGGATAAGGACTTTGACAGAGGCTTAGCAAGGTTGACCCAGATCTGTGCAGCCCAAAAGGAGACAGTCAGAGGCTGACCTGAGAAGAAAGGGTTCACTGAAGGAAGAAGAAGAGCCCAAGCTAAGGTGCTCAGTGGTGCATAGGGGTAGAAACTCAGTCCACTACTGCTGACCATCCCTTACCATGAGTTCCTCTTCCCTCTAGCTCACAGCCCCCTAGAGGGCAGCCTTTTCTGACCTCACTTAGCTAGGGCTCAGAAAAGGTGAGAAAGAGGTCAGAGGTTTAGGGAGATTAACTTTGCAGAGGACTTGACCTCCCAAAGCCATTCTATTCATAGAAGGGCCCCCACCAAGCTCTTGAAAAATCACCTCGGATGATACTCATTGCTTTTACCCACAAGCTTCTTTGGCAAAAATTCAACTGGGCTTGTCTCAGAGCTAACCGGTGGGAGCCAGAAAGGACGGGCATGTCCTCTCTCTTCACCGGAAAAGTCCTGATAAGAAACAACAGTGAGGGGGATGAGGTGGACACAGAGCAAGAGCTGAGCCTCAGGCTGGACAACAGGGTGCTGCTGCTGTATTTTGGGGCTGGGGAGTGCCCTCAATGCCAGGCCTTTGCCCCCATCCTCAAAGACTTCTTTGTGAAGCTCACAGATGAGTTCTACGTCAACAGGTCCTCACAGATCGCACTGGTATATATCTCCCAGGACCAGACTGAAGAGCAACAGGACACATTCCTCAGGGATATGCCCAGGAAGTGGTTGTTCCTACCATTCCAGGATGAGCTGAAAAGGTAAGCCTAGCTGGGGGCCCGTGCTAGGGGAGGGAAAGCCAGGTAAGGACTCCAAGCTGGGGCAGGTGGCAGAGTCTTTCCAGAGTGGCTCCTGCCCCCACCAGTGCTGCCTGCCCTGCGTCCCTTCATGGCCCAATATTAGAGCCCTGGGACCCCTAGCAGAAGGCCCAAGGAGACAGAAGCTTCCTGACATAAAGCTGCCAGAATTAGATCTTTTATTAAGGTGGGCTGAAGAACAACAAGGAATGGAGAACAGAACACAAGCCAATACTTAACAATTTATACCACAAGGCCAAGGGATTAGAACCTGGGGGCATCAGCCTCTCCCCTGCCATTCCCATCATGGTCCATACTTGAGCACAGAGGCCTCTGTATTTATGGCCTAGTAACCCAGGGCCAGTCTAGCCTCTTCCCTGCACTGCCCTACCTACTACCTCCTAAGAGACATCCCACAGGGGCTATGCTCCCTTCCCACCTCCCTTATAAGAGCAGGAATAGGGACCAGAGTCCCACCCCACTTCACAAGTAGCAGCTCTCTTCTTTAAGAGGTAAAAGGGAAAGGGGCCCCCCTCCCAGCCCCAGGACCTGTTCTAAGAAGCAGGGGAAGGGTTTCTGTTGTAGTCCAGTCTTCTAGTCCCATCCTATCTTGACCCCTGAACACTGAGGCCCCACACTGACTTGCTCACAGGGACCTTGAGCGGATGTTTGCTGTAGACCATGTCCCCATGGTAGTTGTGCTGAAGCCTAGTGGCGAGGTGCTCACCAGGGATGCTGTGGAGGAAATTGGCCAGCTTGGGCCTGCGTGCTTCTGGAACTGGCAGGAGGCCTCTGAGGTCATAGACCGAAACTTCCTAGCTGCTGAAGACTTTGATGACTTGGCACCCAGGAGCCTCACTGACCCCATCCGACGACTCAAATATAAGATTGAGAAGGAGACTTCAAGAAGCCACACCTCACAAACTGGTGAGAGAGAGGAGGAGACTGGAGATGGGGCGATGTTCTGAGCCTGCTGAGTGGGCACAGAAATGGGCCCTGGTTGGAAGGTGCCAACCCTATAGGAAGCTGCCCACTGACTTCTAGATGTTTAGGTCCCTACAAAAACTTGCAAAAGCAGAGAGGCAGGAAAGATACTGAACTGAGGTCCAAGCAGTAAATCCACCTTGTGGATGAACCCTGAAATCTCAGGGACCATGCTCCCTTGTTCCTTAGGACAGCCTCACATTTATTCCTGCCTAATGTCCCACCTGCTCTCCTCAGGACTGGGTAACTTCCTCTGGCCCCTAGACTATTCCTAGGGAGATCCTACTGCAGCCTCTGGGTCTGAGGGCTAACATTTCAACACCAACCTTTAAGAGCTCTGTACGTGGCACCATCTGCAAGAGTTGCCCAGACCATTCTACATTCCATTCCCTCTAGCAATCACCCCAACTGCCGCCATTCTGAGATGAGCTAAGACACTAGAAAAGTGAGGAGCATGAGGTTGTGGGGAACAGAACCTCACAGTTGCAAGGGACCTTAGTGGCAATGAATTAATTAAAACCCGTACCTGAACCAGAATCTCCTGGACAACATACCTGCTAAGTAATCTTCTAGCCTTGGAGGACCTCCTCCAAGGAGGAGCCCACCACCTCCCAAGGCAGCCCATCCCACTTGGGGAGAGCTTTAATTTTCAGGAAGCCTTTCTCTACATCAAGCTTAAAGTTGATGCCTCTTTGTGATTTCTCCCCTTTGCCCCTCGTTTGGTCCTCTGGGGACAAGCAGACCAGATGTCTATGAATAGCCCTTCATATACCTGAAAGGTTCTCATCTCTCCTTACTGCATTGAATCTTCTTGTGAGTATGGGCCAGAAGGAGAAGCTCTGCTCTCTCCATCTTGATGAGTGTCAGGGGAGAGGGCATAGCAGGCTATCAAAGATAGTAAACAATGACATCAAGAAGAAGTCTTTATTACTAAGAGCAAATTGAGCCAGTCCTGCAGGCTTAGCACCAGGAAAAAAAAGTCCAAGGCACTTATTTTGTTCCCTGTCTGCCAAGAGCCATATCAGCTCTGGGGCAGGGAACCCTCTGAGATACTTGTGCCAGAGCATAACCTCTGGTACTTGGCAGAATATCTTCAGGACCCCTCCTTTCCCCACACCTTCACCAGGCACCATCAGTGGGAAATTCTCAGGTTCCCGTTAGGGGCTGAGCTGCCTGTCCCCGAGATGCTGTGACAGGCTGTAGGCTTCCAGACATCAGAAGGGACCATGGAGTGTAGTGTCACCCAACGGGCAGAGAGAGCAAGAGGAAGAAGAAGAGAGGCACTGTGGTTAGCAATGCACCGGCTGTGCCCATTCCAGAATCTTGAAGGCTGACTCCTTCTCCACTGGGAGCTAACAGACACTGGGAGGCAGGCGGGCTGCTGCTGTCCTCTCCACCACAAAGCCATAGTTGTACTGGAATGACATATAGAATGAGAGATGCGGCAGCTTCATGGGCAGTGGATATGAGAACTCTAATCTCAGCTCCCACCTCCCAGAGAAGACCTCACCTACAGGGGCTAAGGGGTTTCAGGGAGTAGGGAAGGAACCTTGTAGACATGCCTATGGGACAGAGGGCTGAAGGGCCTACCTCCTCCTCGATGTCAGCCAGAGATTTGATGGTCAGGTCAGCAAAAGTAGAGAAGCCCTGCGGGAAGGGTCACAGGAAAGTCAACCCTCGGGCAGCATTCCACCTTTTGGAAACTCCGGAGGACACAAGAAAACCCAAAGCCATCACCAGGCTCTTTGGTATGTGAGTTACAAAGGCCAGAGCACAGCAAACCCAGGAGTAGGAGTCTGACTGCCCATGCCTCCAGTGAGGCAAAACCCCTCACACCCCATCTCCCAGTACTCATGCTCAGGCCTATCTTTCAAAGCCCCCAACCATCCCCAGAGTCCCCAACTCTCATATCCTCCCTGACACCCTCTGCATCCACCTCATCTCAACCTTCTTTATCCATCTTCCACCCCCAATGGCATCCAAGGGTCTATGGGAAGTGCTGTTTTATGGGAGCAGGGGAAAGGGACAGGGGTTACAAGGCATGGGGGTGGGTCTGGTGAGGCACCTCACAGTTCAGGGAGCATCGGGGGTCTGACAATAGTATTAGTGTCTGTTTCATGGGATGGAGGAGTTTAATGTAAAATTGGGGCAAGGGAAGTATATCAGCATGAGTGCCCATCAGTATATATTGTGAGGAAAGTACTTTCAAAACTGTCAAGTGCTATCTGTTCACATGAAGTATCATTAGTACTTATTACTAAATAATAAATGCAACCATGTAGCTTGCTTCACTCCTGGGGGCCCACTCACCGTTGGACCATTGTCTTTGCCTTCAAACTTGGGGTGCAGGATGAAGGGAACCCCATCCATGGCTAAGAAGAAAGATTACCAATGAGTGGAAGGGTAATGGGATAAAAATCAGAGCTGCCTCCCATTCCCCTGAAGAAATCAAGGGCTGGCCTGGGAACCAGGAAACCAGAGGATGCTGGAGCTGGAATGGACCCAATATATTCTCTAGTCTAAATCCCTCATTTTATAGAAGAGGAAACTGAGGCACCATGGGGGAGGGGAGGGTTACAAAGTTGGCAAGCAGCAGAGCCAAGATTAGAACTCAGGTTTTTCTCAGTCTAAGGGTTTTTTCTTCTATACCTTGTCACCTCACCCTTCTCTTCTCTGTGCCTCAATGTCCCTATCTCTCCTCTGCTCCTTTAAAGTTGAGTAAGAATGCTGAGTTCAGTTTACCTGAGATGCCATATAGACTAGATGCCTCATAGATGGAATCACTCCTCCTGATGGTCCCTTGTCTTGAGCTCAATGTGGATGGCTTCTCTGAGCTGTCACTGTGGGATGTCACAACTGATGCCCATGGAAAGTAACCTCCAGTAAAATGTTGCTTCTTGATCCCTCCTCCCCTCCAGCCCGGTCTTGGTTACCTCCCCACCTCCTGTTAGTCTCACCTGAACTTATCCAGTGAGAGGCCACTCATCCCCAAGCTGATGTTCCGAGGCTTAGGAAGGGGCTTGGGCTTGGAGACTTTACCTTTCTTACACCAAACTGCAAAGCCACCTATTTCCCTAGAGGGTAAGACATGTTTTAGAAGGAAATCTATCGTGTATAACCAAGGAAGGTCACTCCTTGGGGACCCTGGGGTGAGGGTTCACTGCTTCCTAGGACATGTGGGTGAGGGTGTGTGTGTGTGCACACACACACGTGGAGATGGTTAAAAGATCAGTTGTCTAGATGTGTGAGGAAGGCTAGTGGGGTGACAGGGTTGTGTATATGATGTTAGCCGGGAGAAGCTGGAGTGGACAGGGGCTTTAGGGACAACTCTCTACCCAACACGCATGTATCCTGGAACCACTTTGCTCTTGCCACTCAGTCGGACATCAAACACAGCCGTATCAGCCACTCCAAGGGGGACCAGCTTCATGCAGACCCGTTTCTTTTTTGATACGGATGCCTCTGGGCAGGAGGGGAAGGAGAATAGAGGTCCATATCTCATTCGACTAGGTAAACTGAATCCCTGACTAGCTGTGGTACCTACCCTCCCATCCAGGTATGTGATTAGGACTCAGGATTCAACATAAAGCTATCACTAAACAAGCTACAAGTATGCACATGTGTGCACACACACACACAAAACTTAGTAAAGAGAATGACCTTACTGGTATCTAGGAACTCGCTGATATAGGTGAAGCCCATGGGAAGAGGTGTTTTCTCATTTAGGATCTGGATATCTGTGACCACATTTTCCTGGGGAGTCTGTGAAGGAGGCAGAGAGGAAGGAAATAATGGTCACTGCAAATGTTGAAAGGAGAGCCAGGATCAGCAGCACAGGTATGGGTGTAACACTTCTGGTGGGGGCTGCAGAGTGCCCTGGAGAGCTGTAATTCAGAATTCCTTGGCAAATTTAGGTGGAGAAAGAAGGGAAACAAAAGAGGCACAGGGCAAAGGGCAGTATGAGCAAAGAAAGGACATCTCAGGAGAGGGGCACCACAGCAATGGGACCCTGGCAACTTGGACCTACAAAAGACCATGCACAGGAGAAGACGAAGAGAGAGAAGCTGCCAGAGGAATGAAGAAGCGTGTCCTTGTATCAGTCGTTCTATTCCCCATGCTAGTTACATCTCTGGAGCTATGCCGAGAGTGCTGGCATAGGACAGTAAGGACACCTAGCCATGTGTGTTCAAGGCCCAGCTGTGATACCTACTGTTCAGTAACCTTAGACCAGGGATGGGGAGTCTGCAGCCTCAAGGTCACATGAAGTCCTCTAGGCCCTCAAGTGCAGCCCTTTGACTGAATCCAAACTGCACAGAACAAATCCTCTTAATAAAAGGATTTGTTCTATAAAACTTGGACTCGGTCAAAAGGCTGCACCCAAGGCCACGTGGCCTTGAGGCTGAAAGTTCTCCACCCCTGCCTTAAACAAATCACTTCACCTCTCTAATATCCCCATCTGTAAAATAAGGATAATAGCTATATTACCCACCCATGACTGCTATGGGGAAAGCAGACTGTAAACTTCAAAGTGTGATGGGAACAGGAGCTCCTGTTATTATTATTCCTTACCTCACTGCTGTCGGCACTGCCAGGTCCAGTTTCCCCAGGACTGAGGCACAGGAAGTAGCCAGACTTTTGTGCAAATCCCTTTCCAAAGTTGGCAGGTGTCCCCTCCACTGTGCTTGTGATCTAGGGGTCAGAGAAAGCAGGTCACTGACATGGAGCATGGGGAGGAGGGGCACCAGTGGCCCAAGACCTGGCCCTAACCCTTCTCTTGCCTTCTGCCCCCTCCTACCAGCCAAAGGAATCTTGCCTTCCAATGCCACAGGCCCCAGACATCACCATCTCCCCACTTCATGTCTTAGACAAGAATATTGAGACCTGAAGGCTCTGGAGTCAGACTTGGAGAAGCCCATGAAACCAGAGGGGCAGGGCAAGGATAGTCACATTGGGGCCAGAGGGGCTGGATGAGATAAGGGACACTGAAGCTGGAGGGGCCAGGGTGGGAGATCAGTGATGGAAGGGGTGGAGTGCAGGGGTAGAAGGGCTTGGGAAGAGGGACAAGCACTGAGGCTGGAGGAGGTGGGATGAGTGAGAATAGGGGGCCTGAGGACACAGAGGGAGAGATCCAGGCAAAGAATACTAGGAGAAGGAAGAAGAAGGGGGGAATGAAAAGTGAGGGGGCCAAGTGAGGATAGAGAGGTGAAGTGTGGGGCGGGGGACAGCCCCACCTGGAGGGATCTGGAAAGGGATCCCCACATGAGGGGATTGGGAGAGAACTGGGATATGGGGCAGAGGAGCACAGGGAAAGGATGAAGATACAAGGCAGGTGTGTACTGTGGGGGGGAGGGAGTGCTGGTGGGGGCAGGGACAGATACTCTGAAGCTGCAGAGGGACAGGGGTACCCTGGAGGAGGCTCAGGGTCACACAAGGGGCGGGGAGAAGGGAAGGCACCGGGAAACTAAGGCTGGAGGAGGGGCACACAGGGACACTGAAGCAGGGCCCTCCCACAGGGACACTGAGGGAGAAACCAGAAGGCACAGGGAAACTGAGGCCACAGGAGGCCCTGGTGGGTGAGGGAAACCACAGGGACACGGAGGTGGGGGAGGGGGCACATGAACACTGAGCGGGGCAAGGGGAAGAGCAGGGACAAGGCAGGGGGCTGGCCACAGGGACGCTGGGAGGGGAGTAGGCACAGGGACACGGAGTAGAGGGGCAGGGAGAAGGGAAGGTGCAGGGACCAGGGCTGGAGGGGTGGGACGCACAGGGTCACTGAGGGGGACCAGGGGAAGGGCAGGGACAAGGGGGACCGGGCCACAGGGATGCGGGGTGGAACACTGAGGTGGGTGAGGCACAGGGACACGGGGGCGGGGCCCCCAGGGACGCAGCGGGGTGGCACAGGGAAACTGAGGCCGGAGGGATCGGGGAAGGCCCAGGAAGGCCAGACCAGGCCGGGCTCCACTAGCTCACTCACCGCGCTGTAGCCCCGGGGAGGGACAGCCGAAGCCAAAACCCAGGCCAGGCCAACTATCGGGGCCCCGTCAGGGGCGGGCCCGGGATCCATCCTAGGAGCTGCGGATCAAGGCGAAAGGAAGCGGAATGAGGGGTGTTAGGGCTGCCGAAGAGAGGGGCTAGGGCCGCAGAGGTGACCAAGCCTGGAATCCCGGCCCCGGCAGCCGCCCACAGCTCGCCGGATTTCGGACCCGCCGGCGGCTGTCTACAGAAACTACAGGAACCACAAGTCAATTCGGCGAACTAGGCGCGCCTGCGCAAACAGTCTTCCCATAAATCTCTGGCTCAAAGCCGCGAAGTGTGGCGCGGCGCACAACCCGAGCCAAACAAGCAGTTGATGTCATTCCTCAAAAAACTCGTTCAGGAAGCACAATCCGGGCATAAAGCGTACTGCGCATGGGCATATTCCTGCGGAGCGTTGACGTGTTAATGACGTTTCCGAAAAGCACTACATTACCCAGAGATACCTGCTGGACTAGACCGGCTGCTTAACCACAGATCTCCCACACTTCTCTCGCATCCCGGGGTCAGGCCCGGCGGAGTAGCTTTGTGGGAGGGAGAGTAAGTTAGAGCAGTTCTGGCCCGAGGAATGTCTTTGAGTTCGTTCCAGTTGGTTATCAGGTACTCATCACCTCTTGCAAGCTGCACAACTCCAACTGCTTGCCAGTTGGTTTCTGCCTCCAATCCTGCTTTTCGATCTCTCCTCCATACAGCTGCCAGGAAGCGTCAGTGGCTCCCTGTTGCCTGGAGGACAAAATAGACTTCTCTGACATTTAAATCTCAGCCTGCCTTTCCAGGCTTATTACAGAGGACTCGCCTCCAGATTCCATTAGTACTGTTGCTCTTTCCTCACCACTCAGACACCCCTGGGTCCCCAGAGGAGCAGCCACCGAAGGGACCTTTCTTTCCCAACTTCCTTACTAATGCTCCCTTCCCCTCCCCACCGACCCTATCTCCACCCCAATGATGGATTACCCAGAATCTCTGCTTCATTCAGAACCTTAGGCCAGGCACACTTATTGTTGGTCACTGGAGGTGGGCAAGACCCCTTCAAGCCTTCTCCTGTACTCTGCTGGGTTGACATGGGTTGGTTGTCCTTATTTCTTGAAGAGGACTAAAATGACATCACTATCTTGAGTCAAGTTATAGCGTGTCCAACTGTGGCTGATCAGACCAACAGGAGTGTGGGATGTTCTACCAGACATAGGGCACAAATAATCCATGTGCACATTTGGGGCATGACTGCTCACATTATCTGAATTGGGAGTCAATAATTGTAATCTTTCCAGTAAGCCTTCCCAGGGAACCCTGCATAGGTCCCAATCTAAGCCACTCCTCCCCTTCTCTGCAGGGAACCCCACATCAGACCTGATCCAGACTACCCACCTCCAGACACGAGTCTTTTGCCCTGTGTCCACCTGGATCTAAGCCACCAGCACAGGACCTCTTTGCTTCAGAGATTTCTCCATTTGATCCTTCCATGTCCCGATAACTATTGTCCTATGTCTCTTCTGCCCTTTGTAACTCAACTCCTTGAAAAGGCTGTCTACAACACATGCCCTCATTTTTTCTCCTTCTCCTCTCTTCTTAAATCCCTTACAACCCAGCTTCTGACCTCATCCTTCCACCAAAACTGCTCTCTCCAAAGGTAGCCATGACCTCTTAGTTGCTAAGTCCATTGACCTTTTCTCAATCCTCATTCTCCTCGACCTCTCTGCAGGCTTTCACGTTGTTAATCACTGTCTTCTCCTTGATACTCTCTTCTTTCTAGGTTTTAGGAACACCACTCTCTCCTTGTTTGCCTCCTACCTGCCTGTTCTTTCTCTGGCTCCTTTGCTGGATCCTCTTCCAGATCATGCCCTCCAACTACAGTGTCTCTTAGGGTTCTGTCCTGGGCCCTCTTCTCTTCTCCAAGAAGTCGTCTTCACTTGCTGATCTTATCATCTCCTTTGAATTTAATTACCATCTCTGTGCTGATGATTCCAAAATCCACCTATCCTGCCCCAAATTCTGCTGTCCTCCAATCTTGCATCTCCAACTGCCTTTCAGATATCTCAAACTGGATGTCCAGTACACATCTTAAACTCAATATGCCCAAAGTTGACTCATTATCTTTTCCCCCTGAACTCTCCCCCTCTCCTGCCTTATTATTGTAGAGGGCAATAGCATCCTCCCAGTCCCTCAGGCTCCTAATTCTGCCTTTCCTGTTGTTTAGTCATTTCAGTTGTGCCCTACTCTTCATTTCAGTTGTGTCCTACTCTTCGTGACCCCATTTGGGGTTTTCTTACTTACTTACCACTCATACTGGAGTGGTTTGCCATATCCTTCTCCAGCTCATTTTTACAGATGAGGAACTGAGGCAAACAGGGTTAAGTGACTTGCCCAGGGTCACACTGCTAGTAAATGTTTGAGGCCAGATTTGAACTCAGGAAGATGAAGTTTTTCTGACTTCAGGCCCAGCACTTTATCTACTTAGTCACCTAGCTGCTCCTCTGTCTTTCCTAACCCCTCTTAATTCTAGTGCTTTCCCTCTGTTGATTATTTATTTATCTTGCATATAACTTGGTTTGTATATTTGTTGACATGTTGTCTCTCCCATTAGATTGTAAGCTCCTTGAAAGCAGAGACTGTCTTTTCCTTCTTTCTGTATTTCCAGAGCATAGTACAATGACTGGCACATAGTAGGCACTTAATGACTGACTGGACTCTACACTAACTTTCACGCACACCCCCGCCCCCCCCATATCCAGCTTGTTGCAAGGCCTGGAGATTTCATCTTTGCAACATTTCTCTAATATGCCCCTTTCTCTTTTTGGACACTGCCACCACTCTAACACAGGCCCTCATCACCTTATACCTGGATTACTGCAATAGTCTGCTGGTGGGTCTGTTTGCCTTAAGTCTCTCTCAACTCCAATCCATCCATCATTCAGCCACAAAAGGGATTTTTTCAAAAGCACAGGTTAGATCATGTCACCCTTCTCCCAACACCTCCCCCCCCCCAATTAACTCCAGTAACTCCCTATTACTTCCAGGATCAATTACAAAATAGCATTCAAAAGCTCCTTATAATCTTGTCCCTACCTACTTTTCCAGTCCTTTAACACCTTACTCTCCTAACAAATATTCTTCAATCCAGTGACACTGGCCTCCTGACAGTTCCACACAGGAATAAGACATTCCATCTCTCAGCCTGGAATGTTTTTCCTCCTTCCTTTGCCCTACTGACCTCCTTGCCTTCCTTTAATCCCGCCTAAATTCCTGTTTTTTACTGGAAGCCTTCCCCATCCCCTCTTAATTCTGGTGCCTTTCCTCTGTTAATTATTTCCTATTTATCTTGCTTTGTATATATGTGTTTGTATGTTATCTTCTCATTAGGTTGTAAGGTCCTTGAGGGCAGGGACTGTCTTTTCCCTCTTTTTGTATCCCTAGCATTTAGCATAGTGCCTGGCACATAGTAGGCATTTAATGTTTATTTACTGATTCTCTAGAGGCATAGTTTCTAGACCTGACCTGACTTGAGCTGCCAATTCCTGACTACTGTTAAGATGGGCCTCCTGGCCCTTAAGGGACATGTACACTACTTGCCACCAGAATGGACTTGAAGAGAGGTCCCTGAACAGTCTTATCACTTACTTCCTGCAACAGACATCTCTCCAACCACTGGACTCGTTTCTCAATGGTAAGCACACTCCTAGGCTTCATCATATCCAGAAACTCATCATTATGCAAGATGAAATCAGTTCATAAACTTATACCAACTCAGCAGCCCTTGCCTATGGGGCCCCTCCTTCCCTCTCATTGGAGGGTGGTAGATCAACACTGGAGAGCTCCACCTAGATCCTCCACTATTTAAGGATGGCACCCAAGGATTTCTCATCCCATCTGGCTACTTTCCTGGACTTCATCGTCTTCGATATTCCCTGGTTGTATGACTTCATTCCTCCCCTCCCCACCACACATAACTTCCTCCCTCCCTTTTCAGCTTTTTATGTGTCTCCCCCATTAGACTGTTAGCTCCTCGAGGGCAGGGGCTATCTTATGCCTTCCTTTGCATCTCCAGTGCTTAGCACAGTCCTTGGCACACAGTAGATGTCAGATAAATGTTTTTGACTTTGATTCCCTCATACTCTCCCCCATTCAGTGATTCTGAATCATCAGCTCCATTCCCCATGCCCAACTTCCAGGTCTCTCATTCTCATTCTTCTCAACCCTGTCCCTCAAATGTCCCACTCTAGACCTACCCATCCCTTCCACTGTACTCTCTGAAATGCCTACTCAATAGTTTTATCTTAATCCTTTTCCTTTCTCACTTCTGAGGAAGCTTACCAAGACTGGGCTCCCTCCTGGTGACACTGTATGTATCCTGGCCACCTTTTCTAGAACTGGTTGCACTTTCACTTACACCGCTTGATTTACTCGCTGGTTGTGGTGGAAGAATCAGAATATTCCTTGCACCCTCTTGCGACTTCCAGACTCTCCTACCACTATCATTCAGCAACCTCTCCTCTTTTGAATTCTGCACTATTCAAATTGATCATCTAATCCTGAACCTGGGAGTCATTTATCATCCCTCAGGATGCTCTCCTTCCTTTTCCAATGAGTTCAGTGCCTGGCTCATCATCTTTCTCTCCTCCCCAACTCCTGCCTTCATATTAGGAGACTTTAACATACTCCCTCAAAGACCTTAACTTCTCAGTTCCTCAATCTACTCAGTTCACGTGACCTACTCCTACAAACTGTCTCTAGACTGAGATGATCATACCCTTAAACATGCCATCACTCATGGGTTCCATGTTCATATTTAGGAACTCTGAACTTCCTTTATCTGGTCATAACCTTCTATCACTCTATCTTTCCCTGGGCCTTATAACCCCCAACCCTGTTCTTCACCATCATCTCCAACTTTTACGCCTCTCAGTTCTTTGCCAGGCCATCACTCCATTCACTGGCTACACTATCCTGAACCTTGGTGAATCACTTCAGTTGTACACTAGAACCACTTGCCACCTTGTTCTGTTGTTGATCAGCCTTAGATTACTTAAACCACCTGACTCCTTCACTCCTATTCACATGCTACTGAACAGAACTAGAGAAAGTCTCAAAATTGTTGACTGGGTCTACTACAAATTTGTTACACACAGTAATCTTAACTAGCTTTTTACTACGGCAAGGCAATTCTACACCTAATAGGCTCACCCTCTCACTCCTCACAATGAGTACACTCTATGTACTTATAGTAAGAACATAGAGTATACCTCACTATGTTTACTGACAATCTTCTTATCACTCCTCTGGCCTCCTAGGGCACCCCCTGCTCCCTTT